CCCAAAATCTGAATTATGACATTTTTGGATAATTTCATAAGTTTCTTCTAACGGTACACGTCTTCGATTTCATAAGTCTTTCTAACGGTACACATCTTCAAATGATCAGATCCTTTCCTTGTTTATATAAATATTGGTCATCCCAAAAATAAGTCTTAGCTTCAGAAATAAATTTCCTCATTTGTTGGTATGTCATTCCATAGGGTTTAAGATCACTAACAATATAGTTCACAATGTTGGCATACCACGGAACACACCACTCATTCATAGTGAACAAATTTTCATCTGGAAAATGTTCATTAATTTCTTTTTCAAAATAGAGTGGTTTTTCTAATTCAAGCCTAGACAAATGGCCAGCAATTTGATTTTCAGTTGCCTTTTGATCTACTATTTTAAAATCAAATTCTTGTGAAAAAAGAATCCATCTTATAAGTCTCAATTTAGTATTCCTCTTTTTCGTTAAGTACTTAATAGCAGAATGATTTGCATGCACTATACAATGAGTTCCAATCAAATATGATCAAAATTTATTAAAGGTATATATTATTGTTAATAACTCTTTTTCAATTGTTGTATAATTAATTTGAGTTTCATTAAGAGTTTTACTAGCATAGTAAATAACTTTAAAAATTTTATCATATATTTGTCCTAAAACAACTCAAAAAACATAATCACTTGCATCACACATAAGTTCAAAAGGACTTCCCCAATTTGGTGAAACTATAATTGGTGCAGTGATTAATTTTTCCTTTAATAATTTAAAAGCTCTTAGGCATTCCTCATCAAAATTGAAAAATTGCATATTTCTCCAGTAAATGGTATAAAGGCCTAAAAATGTCCTAATTTCCATTACATTTGTTGGATAAGGTAAATTAGCGATCACTTCAATTTTAGCAGGATCTACTTCCATACCATTTTCTGATATTTGATGACCTAATACAATTTCTCCCGCTACCATAAATTGACATTTTTCTCAGTTAAGGACTAAATTTGTTTCTTCACAGTGCTTAAGAAATTTAGATAATTGTCTTAAACATGAGTCAAATGAAGTTCCAAACACTGAAAAGTCATCCATAAGGACTTCAATCCCTTTTCAATTAAATCACAAAAAATTGCCATCATACTTCTTTGAATTGTAGCAGGGGTAATACATAAACCAAAGGGCATTCTTCTAAAAGCAAAAGTACCATAAGGACTGGTAAATGTTGTTTTCTCTTGATCCTTAAGAGATTTCATCCTTAAGAGATATTTAAATTTGGTGACAACCAATATATCCATCTAGGAAATAAAAGTATTTATGCCCAGCTAGTCCATCGATCATTTGATCTGAAAAGGGTAAGGGAAAATGATCTTTCCTAGTGGCAAGATTTAATTTTCTATAATCAATGCATATTCACCCCCCTGTAACTTGTCTAGTAGGTATTAACTCATTATGCTCATTCACAGTTACAGTTACTCCTCCTTTCTTAGGAACACAGTGAATTGGACTAACCCATGCACTATCTGAAATTGGGTAGATAATTCCAGCATCTAACCACTTTAAAATTTCTTTCTTAACAACCTCTTTCATAACAAAATTTAATCTCCTTTGTGGATCAGCCTTGTGTTTGCAGTTTTCTTCGAGATTAATTCTATGCATACAAATTGAAGGACTGATTCCTTTAATTTCAGCAATTGTCCATCCGAAGGCTTTCTTAAAATATTTCAAAAATTTCATCAGCTTTTCTTCTTCAAAAGCTGAAATTATAACAGGTAAAGTAGAGAAATCTTCTAAAAAGACACATTTTAAATGTTGAGGAAGTAATTTCAACTCAAGTTCATGAGGTTTTTCAATAGATGGACAAAATGATTTATCTTTGTCTATCATGTCCCAAATTTCAAAACTTTCTTGAACATAACTTGAATCTTCCTTAAAAAGGTTTACACATTGATCTAACTCCTCTTCTTGCTCGTGTTCCAAATCTTTTACTTCAGATTTTTTTTTCATAAGTAGTCTTGAAATGGCATTTGCTTAGATATCTTATAACATCCATTCTATAGCATTCATCATCTTTACCTTTTGCAGGGTATTTCATTTTGTAGGGTGTTTCATTGATTTTGAAATGTTAATAGTAACATTTTGATCATTGACGCACATTGTTAATTCCCCTTTCTCCATATCTATCATTGCTCTTCCTGAGGCTAGGAAAGGTCTCCCCAAAATGATAGGTATCTTTTTATCTTCCTCCATATCTAGCACAATTAAATCTACAGAAAAAATAAATTGATCCACTTTCACTAGGACATCTTCTATAACTCCTTTAAGATTGGTTATTAAACGATTTGCTAACTGCAGAGTTATAGTAGTAGGGTTTCTTTCTTATAATACCAATCTTTTAAATAGTGATAATGGCATAAGGTTAATTCTTGCACCAAAATCACATAAAGCTTTCCCATAAAATCTGTCTCCTATTGCACAAGGAATTGTAAAGCTACCAGGATCTTTAAGCTTTTCAAGAAGTTTCTTCTGAATTATAGAATTGCACTCCTCACTAAGTGCAACAATCTCATTATCTTCAAAATTCCTTTTTCAGTTGAGAGTATCCTTCATAAACTTTACATAGCTTGGCATTTGTTCTAAGGCTTCAACAAATGGAATATTAATTGTAAGCTTCTTAAATATTTCTAGAAATTTTTGAAAATTACTTATCCAACTTCTATTCTCAAATTCTCTGAGGAAATGGAGGTGGTGGTTTTTCTAAATCAATTTTCGGTGGAGAAATAGATCTTTCATAGTATTTCAGAGCGTCCTCTTTTGATTATTCAATTTCTTCTCTCTCTACTTCAATCTCTTTTTTAATACTACCTTCCAACTCTCTTTCTCTTCTAAGTTGTACGGATTTAACTTGCTCTTTATTCTGGTCTTTTGGATTTGATTTAGTATTACTAAGAAGTGTTCCTTGGGATCTATTTCTTAATGAACTTGCGATTTACCCAAGTTGATTCTCAATATTTCTAATTTTAGCTCGGCTTTGTAACTGATTACCCATTTGTAAGACCACTTCTTCTATAGACAACTTCTTATCCTTAAATTGTGTATTACTGTTGATACCTAGAGGATAAGTAGATCTATATTTATTGTTCCTTTGGTTGTTCCAGTTTCCCAATGTGTTTACTTGGTTGTTCCCCCTTTGCTGATTATTACCACCTGAATTGTTATTCCAGTTAAAGTTGGGATGGTTCTTTCAACTTGAGTTATAATAATTGGAATATGGGTTATTTTGCTTATTATTTACGACATTCAATGTTTCCAACGATGCTTGAGAATCTATAATTTGGCCTAATGAATTCTCTTCAATCATGAAAATTGGTTGAGAAAAATTCATTCCAAATTGGTCTAGAAATTGTAGCAACTTGATTTGCCAACATAGTAAATGCATCAGTTTCATGAATATTGGCTACTTTCTTTGGATTTACCCTCTCAGAAGGCCATTGAATGTTATTTGTAGCCATTTCTTCAATTAAAGCATAAGCGTCATGAAATAGTTTTGACATCAATGAACCACCAGCAGCG